GGGCAGGGACCACCACACAACTTTCATTAACAACAGGGATTACACCCCCTTCCAAGGAGGGACAGGAATCATCACACAACATTGTAAGCTCTTGAAACATGCACAATCTCCAAGAATCAAACCTTGGGGTAAGACAAAGGATGCTAATGAACAAGTCTCCAAAGTCACTGGAGAACTATCTGGGCTTAACAAGCTCCCTCAAATGGACTCAACTGTACCCTAGAAACACTGTGCCCATTTTATTTCACCCTAATATACATTTGTACAGGCATTAATAAAAAGGCTATTAAACAACAATTCAGTGAATTTACCTGGTTTCAAGAATAATGCATGCAGTTACAAATGAGAGGTAGAAACACTGTATTAAAGATCTAAAAGTACAAACATCATATAAATAACTGCTGAAATTTCATACAGATAAATAAGGTATAAATTACAGTCGCAAAGGAAAAAAAGTTGCTTTTACTTAATCAATACAATAAAATTAGATAATGCTAAAGAGTTTCTGTGCAATTTTTAGAGTTCAGGTAATAGTATCTAGAAAGGATTAAACTAAAAGGATTAAAATGGGAGAATGGTTTATTCAAGTATTCAAGCAGGTAAGTAAAATAAACACACTAATATAAAGTGTTGCAACCATTTCTGGAGGAATGGTAACTGTCTGCTTTCCTTTAACTAGCTGTTTGGTGGACTGTCAGGATTAAGACGAAACACACACCAGGTTTGAGAGAGCTGCCCATTATCCTGAGAGATTCGCAACCTCAGTTTTCTAACTTAATATAGAAAATTCATATCACTAACTATAAGTATTTAGGTCACCACTTTGTTTTGGCCCTTTAAAATTCTTGAGAGTCTCTCATAATGTATGATATTTGTTCTAAAATTAACCCAATAAATTTATCTTTTAGTAAATTTAGAGACCACAGACATCAATGTACCTTCTGCATGTACAATAAAAAAAAACGCTACCAATATCAAACACCAGCAACTCAAGATGTTTCTGAGAAAATTTGTAGATGTAGATGAATAGGTTAAAAAGGTTCACCTGAAACCAGTTTTTCAACCTTCCAAAGTCCACCAGAGATTACATTTGGATTATGGGAAAGGTATATGTATATAATCAAATAAAATATCCTAAATAAGTTCATTGTGCCTCATTTATTTTAAACTGCAAAATCCAATACACAGTTGTTTTAATAATAAATAATACAATATGAAATAGTTTGTAAAATTAACATAGGTTCCACATAATCGCAAACTGAAGACTTCAAAATTTCTTCCTAAAGTCAACTTTTGCTGCGTCTTAAAAGCTACTGCTTTCTGAGCTGTTATAGATGCATGCTAAGATATAGACAAACTTACCCAAGATATCAAACTGCCTGGATGAGATGCAGATATTTTCAACTTTATACCTCAGTAAAACAAGTTGTCAACATTTTCATCCACATGGAATTCACGTATTTCTGGGGTGAAGTGACTGAAGGGCTACCCACTTTGTTTCTTTTGTAATTACCTGTATGAATAACTGTAATTGTACTGATAATTCTAGTTCTATGGTATATTTATTTACCATGTTCAAACTGAGAGCCAAGTGGAATATTCTTGCTTCTGCTTCCAAGCAAAAGGGAAGGGTTGACATCTCCGATAAAGCAGGTTTCCTAAAATGTGCTGTTTATGGACAATTTCTCCTTTATGAAATCACTGCATGTACTCTGGTAGTCAGTAGTTAAAAAACAACAGTTTCTCGGGGATAGAACAATGGAACTGCTGAAATCCCCAATGTCCCATTCCCTGACTGGTCCACAGGACAGGCCTGTTGCTGCTCACATCATCACGGTACTATAGCAAAGTGCCGATAATCTTCTTTCAATACTAGTCTTATCTAGAATAAAATAACAAAAATCATTTATATTTGCCAGGCCAAGGACAGATGAACTAATTACGATCTGTTTGAAAATCACTGTCTAATTCCTCTAATTCCTCATCTCGTTCCTGTGTTTGCCCCAAAGTGACAGTCCTGAATGTTTCTTACTTCTTGATAATAGTTTAGATAGGATTTCTAGTTTAGGGACACAAAGTGGCAAAATTTAGATAAGCATGTCAAATACATAACATTTAGGTTTTAACAGCTTTTTTCACAACTACAAATAACTTCAGGATTGCCATCCCCTTGTGGCTCTATATGATAAGCAATGGACTTTGACCATAGGTTAGTGGTTCGAGCCCATCAGTTGCTCCATGGGAGAAAGAAGAGGCTTTTTTGCTCCCACAAAGAAGATGTACACTCTTGGGAACTCTATACAGAGTCACTATAAGTCACACCTTAACAAAACTAACAATATCCTGGCATCACATCAATCTCTACTCTCTACCAAGTCTCCAGTACATCAGATCAGTGTTCTTCAGTCACTAAGCCCATTTGGCTTACAACAGCTGCATTTAATACTAATAAAGATTTCTAGACACACAAAAACGCACACCCACAACTCAGTATTATGGTTGTTGAGTGCTGCTGAGTCGCTTTCAACTCACAGCAACTCTGTATAAGGTTTCTGAGGAGTGGCTGGTAGGTGTGAACTGTCACTCCTCAGAAACCCTATACTTGGGTTTAACAGTCCAGTGTTTATTCTACAGCATCACACCAGTACAACAGTGTAGAAATCTAAAGGCTAGTGATAAAAGCCACAAACACTTTACACATATTACCTCTAATCCTCAACTCTGCAAAGCAGGCTTTTGATTTTTTAAATTTGAATAATACGTTACATGTCTATTCTTTCTATCTTAAAAATGTTTTTTAGTTTTGCTGTGGAGAACATACACAGCCAAACATTCACCAATTCAACAACTTCAACAATACAACTTAGTGACAGATTCCAGTGTTGAAGTTGTGCAGCCATCGCCATCCTCCTTCTGAGTGTTTCTCCCTTAGCACAAACTCACTGCCCCTAAACTTCCTATCTCCTCTCATGAGCTGCTGTTGTCATTTGATCCCACACAGACAGCTCTTTAATATAGCACGATGCTCAAGGGGGACAGACATTCTTTAGTAAACTACTGTTTGGTTGAACGAAGACTTCAAGGAACATTTCTGGCTTAAGGTTTAAAGATTAGCTCAACAGTTTTGGGGACACTTTTAAACTCCATGTTTCTAGAAAGTCTGAATCCATGAGAGCTTAAAACAATCTTCTGCATTTTGTCCCTTTTGATAAGGATACAACGTAAGCTTTATTACCCCATTTTACAGAAGATGACACTGAGACCATAGAAAAGTTGAATAATATCCTCAAAGTTGGAAAGGTAAGATTCAAACGTAAGCAGTATAATTTCAAGCTCCAAGCCCTTTCTAATATACCTGTAGGAGACAACTAAGTTACAACCAATAAATACACTTTTATAAGTTAACTTACATTTATGTACATTTTCAATATCTGCAGGATTCTGTAAAATCTTAGTTAAGCCTTCCAAAAGAAGGACTGCCTTATGATAACGATAAGCAATATCTTCAGTTTGCTGAAACATCTCATCCAGGGCTGCAGATTGAACCTGGAACCAAATCAGTCAACAAACATGAGAAGACTGACAACTTTTCTAAGAAAATGGAAATTCATTAGAGCAATGCAGGTTTACATGGACTATACCGAGAACAAACACAAACTATATAAAGCCTGGGGAGCACAGTGGCTCCATATAGTAAGCACAAATGACAAAGTCCTTGGTTCAAGCCTGCCAGTCGCTCCTCAGGAGAAAGATGAAGCTTTCCACTTCAGCAAAGATTTAAAGTCTTAGAAAACCATTATAGGATCACTAGGAGTCAGAACTGACTCAAGGGCACTTAACAATAACAACATCCAGAGCTGCGGTGGTGTAATGGTTAAGGGCTTGGGTGGGACTAAGACAGACTAGGAAGACAGAGAGATGGACTACTTCAAATATTTAGTCACTATAAACCTTATGACGAGCAGTGTTATGTCAGATAACACTAGAATACTCAATATTCTAACTTGATGAAGAGCACCAGGATACTGTCAGATATAGTGCTGGAAGATGAGATCCTCGGGTTAGAAGGCATTCAAAATACGACTGGGGAAGAGATACCTCCTCAAAGCAGAATTGACCATGATGATACTAACGGAGTAAAGCCTTCGGGACCTTCATTTGCTGATGGACCGTAACTCAAAATGACGAGAAACAGCTGTAAACATCCATGAATAATTGAAACACGGACTGTACAAATCATAAATTCAGGAAAACTGGGTATTGTCCAAAATGAAATGGGATGCATAAACATCAATATCCTAGGCATCGGTGAGCTAGCTGAAAGGGACTGGCATTGGCCATTTTGAATATGACAAACCACGAAGTTACCATGCCAGGAATAGCAAATTGAAGAGAAATGGCATCCCACTCAGCATCAAAAAGAACACATCAATATCTGTTTTGAAGTATTTGTCTTTTTGTAACTGACTCATTTCACTAAGCATTATGTTCTGAAAGTTCATCCATGTTATGAGGTGTTTTGCAGCTTCATCGTTATTCAACATAGCATAGTATTCTGTTGTGTGTATGTACCAAAGTTTGTTTATCCATTCGTCAGTTGATGGACAGTTAGGCTGTCTCCATCATTTGCTACTGTGAATAGTGCTGCGATGAACACTGGTGTATACACTTCTACTCAGGTTCTGGCTGGCATTTCTTGTGGATATATACCAAGAGGAATTGCTGGATCATAAGTATTTCTATTTCCAACTTTCTAAAGTAGTGACATACCATTTTCCAGAGTGGTTGAACCCTTTTACAGTCCCACCAGCAATGTAGGAGGGTCCGGTCTCCACACCCTCACCAACATTTGCTGTTCTCTTTTGAACTTCACTGTTATTGCTGGTGTGACAGATCTCATTGTTTTGAATGGCATCTCTTTAAGGTTAATGATTGTAAACATTTCTTCATGTTTGTTGGTTGCTGGAATGTCTTCCTTGGTGAAGTGTTTGTTCATGTCCTGTGCCCATTTTTAAATGGGTTTTCTTTGTTTTGGTAGAGACGCTGTTGTTTGTGTTATGTACCATGGAGTTAGTTCTGACTCATAGCAACACCTGCATAGGGTTTCTAAGGCTGTAGTTTCCTACAAATTTTAGAAATTAGTCACTTGTCTGATATGTCGCTACAAAAATTTTCTCCAGTCTGTGGGCTTCCTTTTTAGTCTTTGGTTGAAATCTTTTATTTTTTGGGTGAATTGAAAACATTAGTTTTCAGTTTTTAGTATGCCCCAATCATCTCTTTTGTTTTATACTGTTTGTGTGTTTTTTGCAGTATTTGATAATTTCTGCATGCCATGTATTGGAGTTCTTAAATTTATTCCTATTTTTTTCATTGATAATCTTTTACAGTTCTGGGATTTACATTTAGGTCTTTAATCCATGTTGACTTAGTTTTCATATATGGTGGGAGATATGGGTCTTATTTCATTCTTTTGCAAATCAATTTCCATTTTTGCCAGCATCATTTGTTGAAGAGACTATCTCCTCCCCCATTTAATGTATTTTGGCCTTTGTCAAAGATCAGTGACTGTATGTGGATGGATTTACTTCTGGGTTCTCAATTCTGTTCCACTGATCATTGTGTCTTTCATTGTAACCATCCCAGGCTGTTTTGACTACTGTGCTATGTAGAAATTTTGAAATCAGAGAGTGAGAGGCCACCAACATTGTCCTTCTTCTTAAGCAGTGCTATGTTTATCGGACACCTCGTACCCTTCCATACAAACTTCAGGATCATTTTACCCATCGTTTTAAAGAATGTTGTTGGAATCTGTGTTGTTGGAATCTGTGTTGGGATTACGTTGTATCTGTAGATTGCTTTGGTTAGTATAGAGGTTTAATGTTAAGTCTTCCTATCCAGGAGCACAGCATAATCTTTGACAATTGTTAAATGTCTTTCGGTTTCTTGTACTAGTGTTTTATAGTTTTCATTGTATAAGCCTTTTGTTTCTCTGGTTAGATTTATTCATAAGTCATCCTTTTGGTAGCTCTTGAGAATAGTACTGTTTTCCTGATTTCCTTTTCAGAGCTGTCTTTATTAGTATAGAGGAATCCAACTAATTTTTTAAAGGTTTTTGTTGTGAATTGAATGATAGTTTCCATGGGAGAACATTGGTTTTACACTCATCCTACCATATTTCATCTCACTGCAATGATTACAGCCCCCTCTGTGCATCATTATTCAACAGTATTTATTTCTATTCCCTATTTCTAATTTTTTTTTTTTTTTTTGAGTGTACACAAAAACACTCAGGAATATAAACAACTAACCAAAGGGCACATTCTGCAAGCCTGCCTCTTGGCTGCCAGGACACAGCCTTTCTCTTTCCATGTGTCCGGAATCCTCAGCTGCTCTATCTCTCCATGCCATCATCTCTGCCTCCATCTCTGGTGTCGCTACTTCTCTGGATAGGGTGTCACATTCCACTTATGCTCTTCTTCCTTGAAGGTCCTAGGGTCCTCTCTTCCTGGACTGTAAGATTAACTACGCTCCCCTTGGTGTTAAAAAAAACTACCTTTACAGTTGTGACAATTGCAATCAGTCATGATTAACAATTACGTACTTTTGAATCATAAAAATCTTATCCCCATCTCCTTTTACCAGACCACTCTAGACAAGATGAAAATTATTCAGTGGGGATTCTATCTTCGTCTGCATACTCTGAAACTAAATTCCCTCTTGAAAACTTGTAATCCAGTTACTTTGTACCTTTATTGCCCCCTCATTTTAGGTAGCCAATGTCTAAGTTTCCCATCCCTATATACCCTGAATACAGAGGGGATAGCATTGATACTTAAATTGAAGACTCCTTCCTTCTGTTGGTATTTTGAGCTACTACATCCTGAGTATAGGTCAAGTTCATTAAATTGTAGCAATTTACTCTCGTTTCCTTTATTAACTTTTTTTTTTTTTTTTTTCTTTCTTCCTCTAGTTGAGTTCTGATTATCAAGTCATCAAGGCTAAGTCAAATGGGTACTATCTGCAGTTTGGATGTTCTTGTGCATCACCCCTCACTTCATATCAGCTGGAAGCGTCACTCTCAGCTCTAGCCCTCTGTGGCTAAGTCCTTGTCCAGGGGCTCAGGTGTCCCCAGGTCTCCCCACACTTCAGATCAACCAGCCCTTCCTCTTCTCTCTCTCTCATCTTCAGGTCAACAGGAGTCTATGGAACGTGGTTAAACTCAGCCTATTTCTTCATTGCTGCCTTCTGATTATCTCTTATATCATTAAATGTGAGAGAGAACTGCCAGTAATGTAGCAGGCTAATTTACTTATTATTATATTAATATGTCTGCTTCTTTAAAAAATTAACGTAAAGTTATATACAAGAAAGTAAATAAAAATGGATACAGTATAGCACTGCCATGAAAAGGAAGAAGAAGAAACCCTAAGTGCTAATACTGCAAGCATGCTAAATAACTAAGACAAAATGTTGTTGCATGACTTTTATTCTGAGAAAGGAAACATCAAATTGTCTACGAGAAGACATTTTCCTGGTAACAAAATCGTAGGAATAATTTTTCAGATAGCTCTTGTTGTTGTTAAGTGCTGTCAAGTCAGTTCTGACCCATAGCGACCCTGGATACGGTTTCCAAGGAACAGCTGGTGAGCAGCTGCTGAGCCTGAACCACTGACCTTGCAGTTCAAATGGCTTTGCAGTTTGGCACACTAACCCACAGCGCCACACCAGGACTCCTGTTGTTGTTGTTGTCAGTTGCCATGGAGTCGGAACCGACTCATAGCAACTCCATGCACAGCAGAACGAAACAATGTCCGATCCTGGGCCAACCTCACTACCGCTGCCACACTTGAGTTCATCAATGATGCCACCTGGCCAATCCATCTCATTAGGGGTCTTCCTCTTTTTCTCTGACCCTCCACCTTACCCAGCATGACATCCTTCTCCAGCGACTGTTCCCTCCGGACAGTATGTGTAAAGTATGAGAGACGAAGTTTAGCCTACACCAGGACTCCTATACAGGCTTAATTTGGCATGGTGCTGTTACGTACTGTCAAGTTGGTTCCAACTCATAGTAACCTTCTGCACACATTATGTTTATGTGCCCAGTCCTGTGCCAGCCTCACAATTGTTACATTTGAGCCCACTGCTGTTGCCACGGTGTCAATCCATCTCATTTTAGGTCTTCCTTGTTTTCTCTCACCTTCCACTTTACCAAACATGATGTCCTTATCCAGCAACTGGTCTCTCCTGATAACCTGAAACATGAGACACAAAGTCTTGCCATTCTGGCTTCTAAGGAACATTCTGGCTATACTTCTTTCAACAGTCCATGGCAGTCCATGGTACTTTTAGTATTTTTCTCCCACACTGTAATTAAAATGAATCGATTTTTTTTTTAAATTCATTTTCCAATTTTCACATGCATACCTTAGCTTGGGCCAGGTGCACTTAGTCCTCAAACTGACAGCTTTTCTCTTTAACACTTTGTGCGGCAGGTATGCCTAATGCAATACACATCATTTCATTTTGTGACTGCTGCTTCCATGAATGCTGAATGTGGATCCAGTAAAATGAAGTCTTTCACAAGTTCAATGTTTTCTCCATTTTACCAAGATGTTATTTATCCACCTAGTTGTGAGGATTTTTGTACTCTTTACACTGAGGAGCAATCCATATGCAAGGTTGTGGTCTTTGATCTACATCAGTAAGCATTTAAGTCCTCCTTTGTGTTCAGCAAGCAAAGTTGTATCATCTGCACATCTCAGGTTATTAATGAATCTTCCTCTAGTCCTGGTGCCATCTTCTTTATATAATCCAGTTTTTTGTATTATTTGCTCGACATATAAACTGAATAAATATGGTGAAAAAATACAGTCCTAGCCCATACCTTTCCAGATTTTAAGCCATTCAGTAGCCTCTTCTTCTGCTTTAATTTGGTTTATATAGTCCTGGTAGTCCAACTCATAGTCCAACTATGAGTTGGAACCAAGTCAACGACATATAACCACAACAATATAATGTATCCATATACAATATAATGTCAAGTTTATATTCCAAAGTTATTTTCATGTAACTTTATTCTTTCTTTCACAAAAGGGCAAGAGTGCAACATAACAGTATATTTTAGACAAACTTGAGAGAAGTCAGTTATATTAATGTGGTACAAATTAGATTGGCCAATAAATTCTTCCCCACTTAACTATGCCATAACAGTCTATCTTTTTACCTATACTTCAGAGCATTGTTTCCTCAATAAAGACAGCAAGTGAGTTACTTCTGACTCACAATGACGATATAGGACAGAGCAGAAATGCCTTATGGGGTTTTTAGTACAATCAGACAATTGGAAAAGTCTATTTTACTTTTTTTTTTTTTTCATATAACTTGTTTTATTACATTGATTATAATCCCCTCCATATACCATCAGTTAAAAGTATTTTTCTTTATCCACTTTAGCATTTTTTTAAAAAAACACACAAACAAAAAACCTCACTCAGGCATATATAATAAATTACATCTCCAAAGGGCACATTCTACAAGTCTGCTCCTGGCCACCAGTTCTTAGTCCTTCTCTTCTTAGTTGAT